ACGTTCCCTGAATTCCAAGCTTTCCCGCACTGATGCTTGGCTTGCTAGCTGCGGAGGTCGTTGTGAGCAGACGGCACCAGCGACATGGCACACGCAGACACCATCAGTGGTGATGTAGATGTGAACTTGTGTTTGTACGTACGTATGTATGTATGTGTATATATATATGTATGTATGTGTGTATATATATGTATATATATATGGTACCCCCCGAAGAAAACCCACACCCTCATCTTACCAGGTATGATGAGCATCCACTTCTTTGCCTTTGCTGGGTGTAAACTGCAGCTTCATATTAGTTCAGGGTTCAGGGTTTTGTGTTAAGGGATTCCGCGTAACATACGCCAACACTCCGGGAATCTGATGCTCCGTTGATGCCATTATGTTTGCAGCAAAATTCGTCCAAGGTCAGCTATTCATTGTCATCGACAACTCATATGCCGAACTGGAGATGAAAACCCAGACACCACATCCATCTCTCATGAAGACTTCGTGAAGATGATCAAGCCGGATGCTGCGTTGATGCCAGTACGTATGGAATCGCGACGCAGCATGCACTTTGATAAAGAACAATGACGTTTTTGCATATTCGCAGCATCGCAGAATCGCAGATTCGCAGAATCGCAGATTCGCAGAATCGCAGAAGCGCAGATTCACAGATATCCTAAGGTCTCTAGAATCCGCGATTTTGCGATTTTGCCAAACACTGTAAGAGTCGTCTAAAGTGTACTCACGTAGCCGCTCACAGTATCAAACATTAGCAATCGACTCGTGCTTCTGTCTTCCCGCCGTGGACGCGGACAACATTCACTTCAGACAGGCCAAAGAGGCCACGGCGCAAATGGTGCTTTGCGGCTTCACGAACAGTGTGCATTGGGCCAATGCCGCTAGGTGCTGTCAACATTACGAATCTGCCTATACGTGAGTCACTCGTACATGATATTAACCTTTTTCTTGTTGGACTCCTAGATATGAAACAAACCAGCTTGTAAACATTATGAGATCGACAATATTTGTTTTCCTGATACAGAGATTCTCATCGCCAGCCCAGTTCATGACTCACTTCCTCAATGTTTGCCACAACGTTGCAAAGACTGACCTGGACATCGACAATCTCAAAGGCATGTTCAAAAACGAGTTCTGGAGCGACCTGCCTGTTCTCATGAAGTTGCAAGAAAATCCCAGTTTTGAGTACAAGACACAGCACTTCATTCAGAAGCAGTCGACTGGCAACTACACGATCATCAAACATGTCTGTTTGACAAAGCAAAAACTCACGCAGACGAAGCTGGAGTCTTTTGCTGTGGGAAAGCTCTACGAAATTGCTTGGGGTCACGGTAACAAGGTCGTGGAGCGGAAAGCTTTGCAGTGGAATTGCTTTGTGTTGTGAATACGAATCTAAGCAAAGCCAATGCTGCAAATAGGAGAGCTGGTGTTTAAGCTGACGCGGAATCGTGAAGCGCCCTTGTCCGAAGAAGACATGTTTGCGTTGTCGCGTTGACTCCGTGAAACTTCTGCTGCGAAAGGAACTGAAGAAAAAACGTGCGCTTAGGTACATCCATATGCTCATGATGCAAGCGGGATATATAGGCCGTGCGGTTTCGGGTTTGAAGGGAGTTTAACGGGTTTGTGTAAATTGGGATGGTATGTAAACATGTAATAGTGTGCAGCGTGCTGTGGTGCTCTGCAATAGCGACTCGACTGCATTACAATTTCGGCTCGAGTGGTCAAGAAAAAACGACTAGAGTAAATATGTTTATGTTGTTGTTGGTTCCACAGGCTACAAGTTTCAAGAGTTCTCTTTTTTTGCCCTAGTCGTACTGTAGAGTCATTGGGCGTGGAACCATGACATACCACGGTCAAGCAGTCGAGAACAACATCGACTAAACTAAGTGTGTTTATGTTGCTGTTGGTTCCACAGGCCACAAGAGTTCTCCTTTAATGTTTTAGTCACGCTGTAGAGTAATTAGGTTTGGAGCCATGACATACCAAGGACGAAGACGTAGTAGGTCTCCTCCGCAGACTATGTCTTGGAATGCAGCTAGCAGGTCTTCCACACAGTCGACCCCGTTGAGTGTAGCGACCACACTGCCGCCCTACCGGTNNTTGTGGGATGTTTCGGTTGTCTTCTATGTGTACGGCAAGTCGTACCACGGCAGCGAGGCAGAGAACGGCTACAGCTGCAGGGCAAACTGCTGCGAAGTTCAAGACCCGGACAGAGATCCATACCTTGATGCACACGTTGGATTTCACGACTGCACTTTGTAGAGGACTTACAGCAACATGAAGTGCAAGGACCTACTCGGAGATTGAGGGGCATGTAGGAGTATACTGTGTCCGCGGACGACATAGGAGTTCAGCGGTTGCGTGGATCACTTCGTGTATGGTCCAAGGGCTCGGCTGCCGCAGTGTGTATACCGAGTACATAAAGCGGCAGGCTGGTAACTGGTCTCGACTCTGCACAACTTGCCCAAGCTGTGCCTGGACCAGTGATGCAAAAGCAAGGCTTGCAGAACAAGCAGAAGCAGACGCACGAGACTTGGTTAAGTCTCCCCGGAAGAATATGCGTCTCACCTGACAACGGCCCGTCGCGGGATGTGTATACACAGCCGACCACTGCAGACGGCTGGAGAGAGAGAGAGAGAGAGAGAGAGAGAAAGAGAGACCTGTACTGTAGTTGTACGTGTCAAGATGTTAGACCCACAACTGAGGCGAGCCAACTGGTCGAGTCTTGGAATCACTGGGAGGCCCATATAATCAATACTTTGATAGATTATCCATATTTTTAGTAATTATCGGGTGTACAAGGTTTTCTTTCATTTAGCAGACAAGCATAAAGGCAATACTTCTATGTTGTATCCGCTGTTCAAAGGAACATACAACCAAGTAGTACTTTAGAAGCTTATCTAGGTTATACCATCGTAGGCGTCGTCCATCGCAACCACGATGCCAATATTGTGACAAGTTATGCATGAATCTTCATGTCGGAAGATGAGCGTAATGGTATTGCTAGTAGCACGTCTATGATGCACCCGTGGGCACAAGGAGCACACACCTAAGCAATACTTTACATGATTATCTTGATTTTAGTATCTTGGATGTCATCTATGGCAGCTGCCACATCAATGCTGTCATATAGTATCCATATTTCGTAATAAGTATCGCATAGACAAGACCACAGACATTGTAAGCGCTGCTACTCCAACACGTGCTGAATACCAACAGAAAAGGGGTTCAGTGGGGGTAGCATATATATATATATACACATATGTACCTGTGTGCGTGTACGTGTTTGTGTGCGTGTACGTGTATGTGTATGTGTTCATGTATGGCTGTATGTTTGTGCTTTGGTATGACTGTATGTGTGTATGCGTACATGTATGTATGCACACATGCATTATGCATGCACACATACATGCACAGATGTATGTTTTGTTCGTTTATTCGAAGCCATAGCTGTTGGAGGTTTCTGTTGCCTGCGCAGCGGCCCCCGGCGTACAGGACCATGTAATCTAGGGGTCGGATTAATCAATAGTCGCACCCCGTACTAGTCCCTATATAACCAGAGCACATCCCAGAACTCCTGTTCTAATTATTAAGGCTGTTCAAGGCTTACAAGAGCCGCTGTTGTTCAGGTGTGCATGCAACAGGCCAGGCCTTTGTGTGGAAGTGCACTGAAGGTGCTTTTACAGGGAGCTAGCCCAGGTATCTGCTGCTTTGACCCACTAGTGCGTGCTTACAAGAGTTTGTTGTATCTACTCAGATATGTATCTAGGTCAGCATGCGTACATGCAAGACATGATAGACATCGTTTGCTTCTATCGACCTCTGCGGGAGGAGAATTACGGGCACGATCGACCGCTTTGCATGCATGTGCCTACCTGCGATTCAAAATCTGACCGCTTCCTCGTTGCCCGCATTCAAACTGGTCGTCGTCATTCTGTTCACCACCATGTTTTGTCACCATCAACATCACCATTGAATCATGACTCAGCCGCCTTTCCTGCGAAAAAAGCAGGTTAGGGGCTTATCCCAGGCCTTTTCGGGTCAAGCGTATAAGGCTTTCTGATGCTGCCGAGCCAGCCAAAACGAAAACACCATAAAGCCTATATATTCGTTGGTTGTACTATGCTGGATTAAGTATGGAACCACACAGTCACAATCATGCTTAAATTAAATGAAGGCATGTTAGCCTTGCTTGCACAAACCTTGTCCCAATCGGCTGGTACGAACAGAACGATTTTCGGGTTGCAGTTCCTTCGAAATCCCTTGCATGAGACTTAGGGCACGATAGATTCCACCTTCATCGAGCTGAAACTTCCTGCACTGCCTTGCCTTGTACTCCGAGATGTGTAAGTCATGCGGCGGTTGCTCCCAAAGCCCTGCCAGATATCCTAAACCCTCAACCCTAAATCTGAAACCATAAATTATAATGTACTGGATCTCCCCGGCCTAACACTCCGGGCAAATATACCTGACGAGACCCCTGGATGTGTGGGACTCAGGGTTTAGGGCTTGGGATGTCAGTTCAGAGTTTATGCGTCAGGTTGAGGTTTCAGAATTAGGGCCTCGGGATCTAAAACGTCGGTGTTTAAGGTGGCACGCGCGAAGCTCGAAACTGTAGGCCGTGATCCCTAGACCCGAACCATCCCTAAACCCAGATTGTACCCCATACCCTAATCAATTCCTAGCTACCCCCCCAAATCCTTGTTCAAAATTGGAATACAGAGTAGCTGAAGTTTGAGGAAAGAAGAACTCGTAGCCGAACCTCACGGCCTCTAGGGCCCAGGTCCGTGTGCTAGTGTTTGCTTTGCATTACGATAGTACCAATACTACCATAATTACCATCATCATAATTCTAATCATGGATTAGGATTGTGGGATAGCAGTAACGGCGGTATTATCATCAGCATTTGTCATTGCTAGT